CATGGGAAGGACAGTGCTAGCATCAGATCATCTTTCCTCAGAGCACTGTGAACTGCGAGCACACAGTCTAGTTAAGGGACCCAGTGTCTATGTGGTCCACACACCATGTGGAGTGTAGATGAGTTCAACACTCAAGGAAGTCACGCCTAGGTGAAACTTCGCCTTCTTGTTTGTGCAACTCACAATTTGAGAGCAGGTGCAGAAATCTCTCAGTAAGAGGCCTCGTGGAAAGAAGTGGGCTTCCAGTCTCATTTTGCATAACCGTGAAGCTTAGTGACATTTGCAGCAGAGATATGAAATCCTCATTACTTTCCTCCTATAGCAATAAGAGAAATAAATCTCATGGTTGGGTGGGAACATGATTTCAGGGAAAGAGCTAGGGAAGTGATTAATGCCTGGGCCTGGTAGGAAGGACAAGATTTTCACAGACAGAAAAGCAGGAAAGGATATGGAATTCCTGAAAAGGGTGGTACCAATCCTAGCAAGCTTCTAAGAGTTAGCCTGTTGTCAGTGTTCCCTCATCTTCCCCAAATGTCTGCAACCTGAACTGACTTGCAAAATATCCAAGTGCAAACCTTGGGTCCCTCACACCATGCACAGCCCAGTAGTATCTGACCCCAGGGCTCAGAAACAGTCCTCTGCATTTCTGCTCTGATACATCTCCATGTCCGTATCTCTTACGAAAAACTCACATTTTGCCTGGAAGGAGTAAAACCTGGAAGGCTCCCTGGAGGTGGATGGAATTAATCTAGGTCTGGGTAAATTGAATGTAAATGCTTTCCAAAATCTAATATGACAAGAAACAAAGCACAAGGTAGGTGCAAGGGCCTAAGAAGTAGAGCTAGGCATTGAGGGATGGACACGGATATAGAAAGACATAGGAATACGAGCAGAGATTTCATGACGTCAGCTGGGCCTTGGCAAATGGAAAGTTTCCCACCAGAAGATCTACTTGAGAGGAATGGCCAATCTCCCCGTCAATCATCGCAGGCCCACCAATGACGATGTTGGGAAGCAGGGCCCTGAAACGTTGTGGAAGAGGCCCTAGCACGTGCCTAAGCTCTTGACTGTCTGGATTGTGCTGTGGGGGCTTCCATAGACCGTTTTCCTCAGTTAGGATTTAACATGGCCGTCCCTTTCCGGAGATCGGAAAAGTGTAAGTTTTACTCACTTTATTCGTATCTGGCCATCTGCAGTGTGACTTGGAGAGTCGGGTAGATGGTGTGTCCTCATGGACACATTGACAGATGTGTCTGCAGGGTCCTGGGTGGATGGCGGAGACGATGTCTCAGGCACTTCCGGGTTTGGTGTTGGGTATTATTATACTGGCATGATGAAACGTGAAGACGTTCTTTGTTTAAACGTGGGTCTCGGAGCCTCCTTCCCAATTGTGGTCTTACTGCTTTGTCATGTTTGGGGCTTAAAGTGAGGGAAGGGTGGCAGCGTTTGGCTGGGTGTGTGGGGATGCCAGACAGTCTGACTGGTGAGTGGCAGCCGCCATGGAGCTGATTCTGCTTTCTATTGTAGGGCATTTGGGGTGGATATATCATTGCCGGGGCTTCCTTCAAATGTTGATCTTGGCCATTTTGGTCACCTTGCTTAACCATTGAGGGTCTTTCTGTTCTTTCCCACGTGAAACGAGACAGTAAGGCTCTGAGGGATCGCGTGCAGTGTTAGGACAGCTGACGGCCCTTGGCTGCCTTGGTGTTTTGTGGATCAGGGGGAGGGGAAGTTTGCCCCAGCCACTCATGGTACGAGCTTCCAATTTACCTAATTTTCCTGCAACTGTGTTAGGCTGTCCATCTGTAAGCAAGTCTCCTTGTAGATCTGTATAATCCCTGTTTCCTTCAGGACCTGTGATGGCAAAATCTAGTACTGGCCAGCCGATGAGCCTGTAAGGAGAAGAGAGTGGACCCGGAATTAACTGTCAGAGATCTGCCAGATGAGTAAGTGCAACCTTATGTTCTGTGGGGCCACAAATGCTGGGAGGAGGGTAGCATCCATCCCGTCAGCTGCAACATTTTTTAACATGGTGTTGAAATGTCTTCCCTGGGTCTCTAAGATACGAGCTTGCAACAATGTTAGGATCACTGCCTGAGTGCTGCACAGACACTAAGTTTATAATCGATGTCTTTAACTAGTCAGTGGCATCTTGTTCCAGTTCAGCATGAGTGCCATTATTACAAACATACTGAATTTATTAGAATGTCACCTTTCCAAAAAGCCTGATCTTGCCATCTTCACATCAGAGTACAGATCTGTCTTTTTATCCTTTTGGAAAACACTTGTAATCCCAGGCAGAAGCAGGCTGGACTGGAGGGGATTGTGAAAAACAAATTTCAAGAATCCAGAGACTGTGGGAGTGCTGTTTTTTTCATGTCGGGGAACATGGATTTGAATGTAATTTCAAGCCAGCTCTATATAGGAAAGGGGAGAAAGATGAGGCCTGGACACCAAGTGATTGGCAGAGCATGATAGTCTCCCAATCAATCTGCACTCTAAGTGGGTGGGCATTTGCTTTGCAGGGGTCCTGGAGATGTAGGCTAACAATTAAGTAATATACAGGTCAAGACTTCATTAAAAATTTTACCCTTCTGCCATTTTTGAGGGAGGGAGGGGCGGGGGGCACAATATTGTTATTTTTTGCCTTGCAGATGTTGATGAGACAATGCTTCCTGTTTCATTAAAAATAAATATTAGTGTCTGAGTCTGACTCTTTCTTACTGTCATCTTTGAGCCTCAATTTCCATACTTGCCAAATGGGAATCACACCTTGCTCTCAGGGATATCTCTTGTATGGTTCTTGTAAAGTGCTCAGCACACAGGAGTTTCTGAAGGAAGTAGCACACCATTTACAGAATATGGGAACAGATCATTGTGGCTTCATTTAGCTCATCTCCTTACCTGTCCAGGCCCCCATGTCAACCAAACGTTTTTTTCCTTTCACAGGGCCAGCAACTTTCCTCAGATATTACAGGGCTTCTGTTTGGAAACCAGCCTTTTAAATCCTGCTATGATGCCAAGAGGTAGCCCAGCAAATCACAGCTTGCCTTGCTCTTTGCCACTTTTTTGTGTGGCCATCTCTGACGCCTTATGCCGAAGCTGATGTGGCTCAGCACCAAGTTGTGGTACTAAGAGGGTGCTTGTTAACTGGCACTGCGGAAAAAGTCTCCTATCTTTCATTGTCTGTGTAAAGCTACTTCTTTTCTGGGCAGTAGTTAATTTGTTGAAAATCTATGGAAGTGTTTTCACAGTTGGGGTGGAGGGAAAGTGCTAAATAGAAATATGAACTGTTCTAAGGTGCATTCCAAGACACTTCTAAGCTCTAGTTTCATAGAAACCTCGGCTCCTCTGTTGCTTTATTAGCATGGGTTTTATCCAGAAGGTGGCATCACAGAACCTGAATTTCATTCAGCGAAGGTTAAAAGAAAATCCACATTTTTTGTGATTTTAAACTAAAGTATGTAGTTTTAAGAGGCCATGTTTATCTCTGTAATTGGGAACATTACTTTAAAGCTGTGAAAGATGGGGGTCGTGATAGCTTCCTACTTAGTGAAAACCTGAAGCCCGAGATACTTAGAAAATCCTGCCCTAAGCCCATGTTCGTTCCCCAGGTAACACGGTGATGATCAAAACTGCCTATTTCCTAGTCAAGACAATTGTGAAACTTAAGGATAACCGTGAGGCCTTCTTCCCCTTCCACACACACTTGTTTCCACTGCCCATCAAAGTCATCTTGACTGACTTCATTGGAGTCAGGGGTCAAGAAATCCTAAATGGATGGTTTAAGAGGTCAATCTGCTGTGTATTGGCACTTCAAAATAGGTCACAAGGTTGAGGATTCCACAAAGGTGACTCTCCAGTTGGTGACAGTCTCACAAATCAGGGCTCTCGGGGAAAGAGAAGGTAATCCTCTTCTGAATTTGAGATGGAATCTAACTTGCACGTTCTTTCCCAGGAATTCATTCCCAGGCCAGCCATGTCACTTAGGCTCATGAGACAGTACCTAGTGAATGTCTGCTCACTCGTGGGAATGTGAATGTTCTATAAATTCGTGGTGTGAGGTATTCCTTTGGATACATACCACAAGTGGGATTGCTGGACTAGATGGTAGTTCTCTTTTTTCATTTTTTGAGGGACTTTCATACGGTTTCCCATAGGAGCTGTACCAATTGAATCTTGAACCAAATGAATTACATGAGTGGTTCTCAGGCCACTTTTGATTGTCACTTCTTTTCAGGAGAAGTACTGTAGAGATGGGAGGCTCAAAGCGGGAAGGAGTTCACTGATCAGGAAAGGTGGAATGACTGGCTACATACAGACGTTCGTTGGGGTGCCTAAATCCTAGAAGTGGGGAAGGGGCTAGGAAGAGTGGCCCTCTGTAGAGCTGCTGTCAGAGCACAAGAGAAAGCTGGACAGGAGGACATAGGCCCTCAGTGTGAAAGATACATTGGACTTTCTGTGGTCAAAAGTGTCTCCTATTTCTCAATCCCTGGTACTGCCTGGGATCATTGTAGCAAGGGGACTGAAGATAATAGTGCACATCGCAGAGTGTGACATGAGAGTGGATTCCTGTCCGGCAAAGGTGAGACTTTCATGATGAAGGCTTTACCCTATGTGACAGCATTCCTCCGAATTCTGGACTTCACTGTTAGGGATGTTCTAGTGTTCCTGCTTCAGTCTGTGCACTGCCTTAGGCTGTGAAAAGCAACTCAGGAAAGGTGACCTTTCCCCCTCCTATACTGTGGCCTAGAGCAGTAGTCTGAGAGGATCTCCTGGGAGGCGCTTGCTGACGTTGACTACACTTGGTTGAGTGGACCGCTCAACTCTTCCTTTGAGACTACCTGTGGCCATAAAGAGGAACATGAATGTGAACTGCTGTTGCTGGTGTGTTCTACTGATACACCAACCGGACACTTCTTCCTTTGACACTCACACACCTGAGGTGCCTTGCTAAAGTCCTAAAGAAGGTGCATATTGGCATTGGCAGCATGTGATGCATGGGAATTGTTGAGTCTTTGGCAAAAGTTGGCGGTAGCCTGATGTCAGAATTCTGTGCCATTGTGCCGAGTGAGGGCACTTTGAGAATCCTGAGGAGTCCCAACTCTGTCTGTCAGAATGTGGTTGGAACTTTCCACATTCACTTTCTGCACTCTTCCACTGAGCAAACTGCACATTGGCTGGAAGACAAAGGTCCTATGGGTCTCGTCAGTGAACTGTCCATGAATCCGGGGCCATTTGCTTCCTTCGGGGCATATGCCAATGAGCCTGGATGTCCAGGAACCTCCCGAGTCAGGTGCCCCAGCTGGCGGATGAAGCGCTTGTATTCCTCTTACTGGAGAGGGCTGCATCCCCAGGCTGTAGCTGTCTCTCCCACCCGTGTATCTGCTAGAAAGCCTTTCAAGGAGAAAGGCTGGCTGGTGGTGGCTCCTCTTCCATTTGGGGTTTCCTGTTGATGGGGGTGACTTGCCTCAGAGGAACCTTCTCTGCACTCTCAAGGAAGAAGGTATTGTTGGTACAACAGTGGAGGGACAGTTATGCATTGTTTGTGGTGTTGTGGTACTGGAGTCGGGGAGAGGAAAGGGGAACTCAATTGGGGGCGGGACAAGGCCCGATGGTTTCCCCATGTCAGGGTTGTGCTTTCTCTTGATTTTGGAAATTCGGGCCCAGCAGGGCTATGAGGAGGAGGCTCTGCGAGTATAAGGGAAGACTGACGGTGGGGAGGACAAGAGTCTTTGGTGTGATGACTGTGGTGGGCATTGTGGGTTCTGGGCTCTTTCTCTTGTCTCCTTTCTCCATTCTCGTGCCTCTCCTTTGGGTTAGCATAGCTGAGGGACAGAAGATAACAATGGACCCTGATGATTATACTATAAGAAGATACGGCTTTGGTATCAACCAGGACATTTATTATGCTAACAGGATTGTTTTCCATTTTCCCAAGTGAATTGTGATTTTGTCTGCAAGTGAAGGCTTTGCTGTCTCTTCCTTGCTCTGTGTTGCCTAGACCTGTGACAAATGGCTGTTGTGGAAGGGGAGCTCTTTGTCCAGCTGTACTGTTGCACAGTATATAATCTAAGGGAGTTCTGAGAAGGAACTGCTCTTGCTTACACTATTTTTTTCTCTCCCGGTGATATTTTCTGTCCTTTTCCTGTAGCTTTATGGGCTCTTGGTCCCTGCTTTTGCTGCCAGGTCCCTGAAAGAACACTCTTGGTTTCTCAACTTTCCAAGAGGCTTATTTAACTTACAGAAAAGATTTGCATACATTGCAGAGAGTCAGAAATGGCAGCCTATTGCCTGGAGAATCCCAGGGACAGTGGAGCCTGCTGGGCTACCATCTGTGGGGTCGCGTAGAGTCAGACACGACTGAAGTGATTTAGCAGAGACAGACAAAGAACTGAACACACTCCAGACTTTTTGAGGAAAGGAGAGAAAGAAGTCCTTGTCCCTTTTCAGCATGAGCAATTTAATTTTCCTTATTTGATTGTCCCTTACAATGTGCTCCCCGTGAGCTACCAGGTCCCCTGGGTATCTTCACCATCCCTCCAAGTGCTGACTTAAAGTTCTGGTCTGAGCCAGACCTGGGCAGAGGAATTCCTCAAAAGGAACTTGTGGAAACAGAGCCTGAAGGACAAGTAAAAAGTATGAGTGACTGCTTGTCCTCTGGGAGCTTTTTACCCATACATATGTCCTCAGGGCGAATTCTCTGTGATCAGTAGGATCACTGGGGATGATGACTAAAACTACAAACCTTGTTTAGAGATGGTTTAAGTCGCTCTGCTGACCTCAGCAGTCTGTTGGCAAGCGGCTCTGAACTTCTCTCTCACTGTCCCTTTGTCAAGTACTCTGAAGGAGCAGAGATTTGATCTCCAGTTGTCAGAGGTCCGATTTCTGTGTCTTGCGGTGCACAGTACCTGCTAGAATACTTAGGAGGAGACAAGGACTCAGATCCGGCAGAGTTTTACTTATGGAATTTTAGTGTGCAGCTCTGTCAAAAAGAGTGGACAGAATGAGCCAAATATGTTCATTCCTGGACAGTTTGAATGGTCTCTTCATCCCTCTAGATTTGAATTTGCCCTCCCACTCCACTATGCTGACTCTAGCATGCACCCAAAATGGGTTACTGAGTGTCGCCAGCCAGGCCACCTCACAATTTCGATTTGGGTTGGCTTCCTGAACTTCCCTATTTTCTCCTTATCCATGTGCAAGCCTACTGTACTAGTTCTTATCAGCTTTGGAATAGAGCAGCTGTGGACCCACTTCAGTGAATCCTAAGGAGATTCACTGGTTTACCCAGCCTCCCCCATCAGTCCGAGGAAGCCCGTTCTAGAATGCTGAAAGTCCTGTTGTAGATTTTCTTCTAGTAGGTTGTCAGAGTACTGAGCTACAGGATATAGGATATAGTTAAAGCCAAGAACCAAGCACCTGTGCATCTCCTCCATACCCCTGAACTGATGTGTACTGAAAAGACTAAGAGGGTAGATCTTGTTCTGTCATGTTTTTATTACTAAATACTACTAATAATAAATTATGACGGTGGAATGAAATTTCAGAGTGGATAGGTGTGTTTATGGTATAGATTATGGAGATGCTTTATGGATGTATACTTATCTCCAGACTCATTTGATTGTATACATTAAGATGTATACATGTATACATTAAGATGTACATCTTTTTGTATGTCAGTCATTGCTCATACCTCAATAAAGGGGTTTAAAAAATAATAAAAAAAAAGAAACTTCCATGGTCACAAATGAGTGTCACCTCCCTCCAAGTTTTTTTTAGATTTTAGAACTGAGAGGGAAGAATGTTTCTCCTTGGGGAAATGGGTAATGCCATTTACAGCTTCTGTATTATGGTTTTGCCTTGGTTTCTCTATGCATACATAGTATTTGCATTAGTGGTGTATAAGGTTAACCTTTAGTCTGTAGGATTTTGAATTTCATAGAATCACAGCAGTTCTACAGAAGTCGTCAACTTCATGCGGAGAACTTTGGCTCAAGGAGTGGCCCTGTGACATCAGCGAGTTGTCACTTGACCAGAAATTGACTTTGAGGTATTGTGCCTTTGGGAATGGCTTGGACTTTGGGTTGTTTTCATTTTGTATCATACGTGCTTTTATGCCTCCTCAAGAAATGTTTAAAAATATTGTACCCATGGGGGCATGTCAAAGTGCGTGTGTGCTGTATTTGTATTCCACAGGATGGAAGGCACTGTCTCATGCTCATTGGTCTCTCTAGCAGGCCTCCTTTGTCTGAGACCTTCCCACTGCCTTCTCTTTTCTGTGTCACTGAGTTTCCTGGCCATAGTTACTTGGTTTGGTAGCCTGTTAAACTTATCCTAATTGAGCCAGTAATACTTTTGTTATGGTTTGGGACTAGACCCACAGGAATGAGTGAGAGCCTGCAAAGGTTCACTGGTAACCTGCTATATTCACAGCAGAGAATATAAAAAGACATACTGTTGGGACTTGCCCAGCAGTCCAGTGGTTAAGACTGCATGCTTCCAATATAGGGGGGAGGGGGTTCAGTCCCTGGTGGGGGAAATAAAATCCCACATGCTGCATGGCATGGTGAGAAAACAAACAAAAAAAAAGAGGCCATACAGCTGAGTTTCCCTGATTTAGCCTCATTTCTGTGTCTTTAAAATGTATTTGTTGCTTCAGTTTCTCGTATTTTGTTAAATACGTGTGTTCTTCCAATAAAATTCATTTGCTTTAGAAGATCTCACTTGTTTGTTTTAATTATTCACAATGAACACCAGCATGACCAAGGAAGCTGCGGCTCTGTCATGTGCATTATCACCTGAACCCAGGGCAGAGCTCTAAGCTCTGGAGTCTGATGCATTAAGAACAGGAGCCGGTGGGAAGAGGATGGGGTCTTCAGGCCATGCTAAAAGTTCCCCTGTTTGTTAAGCTCGCCCCTTTGTCTAGTGATGTATTCCCCTTAAAGCTAGTCACTCAGTCGTGTCTGTGTGACCCCATGGACTGTAGCCCGCCAGGCTCCACTGTCCATGGGATTCTCCAGGCAAGAATACTAGAGTGGGTTGCCATTCCCTTCTCCAGGGGATCTTCCCAACCCAGGGATCGAACCCTGGCCTCCTGCATTACAGGCAGATTCTTTACCATCTGAGCCACCTGGGGAGCCTGATCCCCTAAAGGTAGCAGGTAACCTAATACCTCCCTATGAAAAGTGATCCTTTTAGCCACTTCATGAAAGCCATGAATGCATATTTGGGGATATGCTGTGCATATAGTGTTTCCACGTATTAGTTCTCTATAATTAAGAAGAGTGTATGTTATATAATATATATTTCTGTCTGGCTCAGTAACGGCAACCCACTCCAGTATTCTTGCCTGGAAAATGCCATAGACAGAGGAGCCTGTTAGGCTACAGTCCCTGGGATCACAACAAGTCAGACAGGACTGAGCAACTGAGCATGCACATACTACTCCATTCCATTGATGGACTATTTCTGTTTAGCCCAGCTTCTGTTGCATATTTAGCTTATCCCCCCCGCCCCCCTGTTATTATGATCAATACTAAAATGTGAGAACCTTGTCTAAACATCATGGGGTACTTGCCCAATTCTTCAGTTTTGAAAAATTAAATCACTGGAGCCCATCATACAGAGTGAACTAAGCCAGAAAGATAAAGATCAATACAGTATACTAATGCATATATATGGAACTTAGAAAGATGGTAATGATAACACTATATGCAAAACAGAAAAAGAGACACAAATGTACAGAACAGAATTTTGGACTCTGTGGGAAAAGGCGAGGGTGGGATGTTTCGAGAGAACAGCATCGAAACATGTATATTATCTAGGGTGAAACAGATCACCAGCCCAGGCTCGATGCATGAGACAAGTGCTCGGGCCCGGTGCACTGGGAAGACCCAGAGGAATTGGGTGGAGAGGGAGGTGGGAGGGGGGATCGGGATGGGGAATACATGTAAATCCATGGCTGATTCCTGTCAATGTATGACAAAAACCACTACAATATTGTAAAGTAATTAGCCTCCAACTAATAAAAATAGATGGAAAAAAAATAAAAGAAAAGATAAAAAAAGAAAAATTGAATCACACTTGTTGTTTTGTTTTTACCTTAAACATGACATTGCAGAGATTAGCTCATGAGAAGTTTCATAGAGTAAGGAAGCTCTGGACTATCTGAAGATTACTGATCATTTCATCAGGCATTTCCTTATGGTCTTATGCTGTACTTGGAAAGCAAGGAAATCATATTTTATGTGATCATTCGGGAAGAGCTTAGGATATGCATCCACTATTGCAGAAAGATAGGAAGGCAGAACCTACCTGGACTCATGGGCCACTCCCCAACCCCCTTCCCCCAAATCTCCTTCCAACTGCAGTAAATTCACTTTTAATAGGTTTTAATTTTTAATCAAGATAATACATTCATATAAAGGATTATAAAGAAATCAACCAGTACAAAAGGGCATATAATGAAAAGCAGTGAATCCCCACCTACCCTTCTTAGCTTTTGCTTTCCCATTCCAGAGGCAAAAAGTTTACATGTCTGTTTAGAGGTTAACTCCATTTTTCCTAGTAATATGCTTTTCTTACTGTTTTTTTTAACTTTGATGAAGTGAGACATTTTCTGCTGCCTTCCTGCTGTCTCCTGGGTTTTCCTGCCCCACTTTCCTACCATTGTATCACTATTTTTAAGTTTCCTGTTGGTTAACTCCTTCAGTTTAAAACTGTAACCCCTGAATCTGCCTTATTCTTTCACCTAGAGACTTCCTAGTTTAGGAGACTAACACCACTATTCCCTTTCCTCCCCTCTGGTTGCCAACTTGTTGCCTGTACTTGTCAAAGTTGATTACCATTCCCAATCTGTTCTATGACCATAATTTAGTCTTCCCTGATTTGTCTAGAGATTTACTCTAAAAACGAAAAAGCATAACTAATATTTCCACTGTAATGGTTATTTAAACACTGTTCATTGAATAGGGTTGTTGAAGCTATGATTGGATTTTCTGTGATTGCAGAGTCTTGATCCACGTATGCCAGTGTTCCAATTCCTTTTCTCACACTCCCGGCAATGGTTGAAAACTGAGGTTGCTTCATATAGGAAGCATGTTCTCCTTGTACAGTTTGAAATGTTTGTTTTCCCCTGAAGGTTCTGATTTTTTCCTTTGGGGGATGAAAACAAGTATGTCTTCCAGATCATGTGGTCAGTTTCCTCCAGCTTCTAACTCCATCCATCTATTGCCTAGAATTGATTCCATCCAGTTGGAAGTCCTTTCACTTCTTTTTCAAATTTGGAAGATTTGCTTCCTATTTGGACCATTCTTGTGCAGTTTATTTAAGTCCTTGGTAACTTCTCCTCTTTTTTCTCCTTTAGGGCATCCTGTGCTCATTGTCATTTCCCAACGTGCGTGCTCATTTGATTCTTTACCAGCTGAGCCATGAGGGAAGCCCTTTATGTACGGAAGAACTTCTTAAATATTTCTGAGGATTTTCAGATTTTTAAGTTCTGCTCCTTGAATTAGCTACTTCCTTGAGATTCAACTTCTCGTTTATTTTAGAGTTTCCTGGTTAGATTGCAGGCTTTCCACAAATAATGATTTCTAGCCGCGCGTTTATATGAAAAGATAGGGCGACAGCAGGACAGGTCGGCAAGTGTGTGTGCACCAGGCGAGCTGGGCACTGTGCTCTAGGGCGGGTGAGCCAGTGGGTGGAGGTCAGCCATCCTGCTGGGCCTCCCCACTGCCACAAAGTTAGTTGCTCTAAATATGTACCTGCAGGCGGACGTTTAGAATCACCGAAGCCACTATGTAGAAGTAGGGGAAATTCATGCGCAGACGCCAGGCCAGGTCGAAGAAGGTGATCAGCGTGCGCGTGAGCCCCTTGCAGAAGGCGCCATATGAGCCGCGGGTCGTGGCTGAGCGCGACAGCCGCACTGCTATGCCCGACAGGGCCGCTGCTGCTGCCATCGGTTTGCTGTGGCCCCGGATACAGCTCCCAGAGCCAGGTGATTCCCGCTGGTTCAGGGAACAGAAGGACGCTCGCGAGGGAATGGGCGCGGTAGGTGGATCTTGAGGCAGCAGATGCTAATTGCGCTGCACCGCGGGATCCCTCCTCCTCTGGCTGTGCTTCCTCCTCCTCTGGCTGTGCTCTGGCCACAGCGGGCCCTGGTGCCCCGCCGGGCCGCCCTCCTAGGCTGCCTCGGGGCCACGTGGGGCGGGATCAGGCAGAGCGCCAGGGATCCAGAGCCCTGGGACGGGGAAGGGGCAATGTTAAGGGGGAGTCGGGAGGAGCGGGGAGGGGCCGGCAGTTTGTCCGGGAGACCCAGCTACCTGACCCCAGTGGTCCTTTTTCAACTTTTAACTTTTAAATTTTAACGGAAGCAAAGTGAAACTTGCTCGAAACGTTAGAAATGTTGCTTCATAAGCACAATCATGAGCAGCTTCGAAGCTTGAACGCATTTCCTGTCGCCTCAAATCCCTTTAGGAATTTTTTCGGTCCCCGGTTGTAAGCTAGTACAAACACACCAAACCAAGGAATTGAATTTAAGTTGTGTGCATTCTGCTTTATTCATTCAAGCGTCTTATTTGTTTTTTGCTTTATATCTGTAGTATTCTGCTAATGGGAAAAGTCTAAAAGCGAGTTTTTAGACTTTGTCAGCAGCACAATGAGAACAATGGAAAGCAAATTCCCTGCTTAGTTTCCCTTTCCCGACCCCGCCCCAGCAGCCATGAACTGAGATTGTGTTTCCTGTATATACCTCCAGATGTGATGTGTTGATAAGGTGCCCTTACCATGTCAATAACACACAGCTACCTCACTCTCCTTGAAGGTGGATAATTACACCAACACATCTATCAGCTCATAATGTTCAATAATTCATATAACAAGTCCCTTGTTGATGGGTGTTCTGAACGTTTCCAGTTTTTCTTATGCCAAAATTTATTGCAATAGCATCATTGTAAACATGAATTTGCAAGTGGCAGAAGAGGATGAATAATATAATTCATTCTTTATTATAAAAAACCATCACATAGCATAGATATTTAGTGTTTGAGGTCAAAAAGTTTTCCTAATACATGCAGTTGATCAAAGAAGTTTAGAGAAGGAAGCTCTATACAATATTGTCAGTCTTGGAATTTTTTTCCTCAACATAATAGACAACAATTGTATCTTATTCTTCTTCTAATTTGCATTTATTTAATTATCAGAGAAGCTTAGCATTTTTTAAATTTTCTGAATTTTTAATATATGTGATTTTTACCGATTGTTTGTAGATCACTGAACCTTAAGTATATATTACGAGAAAAGTAAAGTTTCTAGGATCACAACCATTGGGAAAAAAAAAAGACTATTAACAGCTTGGTATATGTGTTTTAGTCAATTTTAATAAACAAAACACACACACACACACATACACACACACATATATATTTCACACACCAATAGTAAAACAAAAGTGAAATCATACTAACATATTGCCTTGACAGTTGTTTTAAACATAATGATATAACTTGCTTATCCTTTCATATTGATTCTTTGTGATTAATAGTACTTATGGCAGGCCAGTCATTAACTGAAGGATATTTGGATGGTTTCAAAGTTTCCACAGTCATAACATTGTTGAGATTAGCATTCTCAGGCATATCTTTGTATACTTCTCTGATATCTTGCTCCAGTACATTCCTCGAAATGGAGTTCTTGGATCAAAAGTTTTTCATTTGTTTAATGATTTTGATACATATTGTCAAACTTTCTTCCACACAGCTCTAAGGTATCCATGAACATCCTCTACGTTCTTAATAACAGCACTGATCTTCTTTAAAATCTTGGGCATTCTAGGTGAAAATGACATCTTATTGTTTAATTTGCATATTTTGTTTACTGGCAAGGTTAGACATCTTTTATATATACAGATATTGCTGCACATTTGCAGGAAAGGAAGTACTCTGTCAAAAGATTTGTAGTCTTATAGAAAACAAATTTATGGTTACTGGAGGGAGAGGGATAAATTAGGAGTTTGGGATCAACACATTGCTATAAATAAAAGACAGTGAAGAATCTGCCTGCTATGCGGGAGACCCAGGTTTGATCCCTGGGTCGGGAAGATTCCCTGGAGAAGGGAATGTCCATAACCAACACTGTCACTTTTTCATATAGAAAAGAGATAAAGAACAAAGACCTGTATGGCATAGGGAACTATATTCAATATCGTGCAATAACCTACAGTGGAAAAGAATCTGAAAAAGTGTATATAGATATAGATATATAGGCTTCCCCAGTGGCTCAGACAGTAAGTCAGTCAGACAGTAAAGCCCTCCATAAAACTGAGGGCTTCCTAGGTGGTGCAATGGCAAACCAGTGCAGGAAACATGAGTTCGATCCCTGTGTCAGAAAGATCCCCTGGAGTAGGAAATGGAAACCCACTCCAGTATTCTTGCCTGGAAAATTCCATGGACAGAGGAGACGGGGGGCTGCAGTCACAGGATCACAAAGAGTTGAACACGGCTGAGTGCACACACACATATATAACTGAATCACTTTATTGTACACCTGAAACTAACACAATATTGTAAATAAGTTATACTTCAATTAAGTATATATATTAAATAAATATGTATATATATAAACATTTGCATGAGCTAAAAAAGAGATTTGCAGTCTTCATTTTAATCAGTATATTAAATTTCCATGTAAAAAAGGTTGTACCAATTTCCACTCCCTCAAGCAATGTATGACGCTGTTCATTTCCCCACATCCTCACTCATATTATTATTAGGTATAATTTTATTATTGCTAATCTAAAAGCAAAGCATTATTCTAATTAATTTGCTTACATTTGATTACAGTTGAAGCTGAATGTTATGTTTATTGGTCATTCGTAGTGGCCTCAAAAGGAAGGAGGGCCCCATGGACTAGATGACTGGAAGGCAGACTAAAAGGGTCCTGGAAACCCCAGGGGCAGTGGCAACAGTGGGGGAGAGGAGGGTTAGGCTTTTTTTTTTTTTTTTTCAGTTAACTTTCCCTTCTCACTGTCTCTTTGCCCCTCAAGTTGCCCAGGCGCTGGTTCCTTTGCTCATTTTTATATTAAAATTTTTGTCTAAGGCAAGCAGAACAGCACAAGCAATCTATAAATGATAAAATCTCACCCCCAGCTTTAGGAGAAACAGAGTAGACAAGACAGCCTCAGGCAATGCATTGTCTTTGGGAAACTGTACAATCTTGTGAAAGTTGCTCAGTCATGTCTGACTCTTGGAGACCCCATGAACTATACAGTCCATGTAATTCTCTAGGCCAGAATACTGGAGTGTGTAGCCTTTCCCTTCTCCAGGGAATCTTCCCAACCCAGGGATCGAACCCAGGTCTCTTGGACTGCAATTGGATTTACCAACTGAGCTATCGGGGAAGACCCTAGTGGCCCAAAATGTTTGATAAATTCCTGAAATGAACACAGATTGGCTCAAACTGAAATCACACAGGAGGGCACCACAGCCCAGCGAATCTCAGGCAGGCAAAGGATGCTGCAGAAGCAGAGCCACTTTGAGGGAAGAAGGACCAGGTATGGAAAGCGGACATGGGAGGATGAGGGGAAAGGAAATGATTATGTTAAAAAGCATTTGGAAAATGGCTGAATAATTTGGGTTTTACTTTCACCATCTTCCTTTCACTCATCACCAGTGAAGGAATCCAGAGACTGTGAGAGTGCTGTTTTTTTTCAGGTAGAGGAACATGGATTTCAATGTAATTTCAAGCCAGCTCTACATAGGAAAGGGTAGAGAGATGAGGCCTGTACACCAAGTGAGTGGCAGAGAATGATAGTCTACCAGTCTATCCTCTCTATAAGTGGGTGAGCATTCAATTTGCAGTAGTCCTGGAGATGTAGGCTAACAATTCAAGTAATATGCAGATCAAGACTTCATTAAAAATTTACCCTTCCGCCGTTTGTCGGGGAGGGGGGCTGGAGGCGTGATATTTTTATTTTTTGCCTTGCAGATGTTGCTGAGACAATGGATCGTGTTTCATTAAAAATAAATTTCAGTGTCTGAGTCTGACTCTTAATGTCATCTTTGAGCCTCAATTTCCACATTTGCCAAATGGGACTTACACCTTGTTCTCAGGGATATCTTTTGTATGGTTTTTGTAAAGTGCTCAGCACACAGGAGGTACTGAAGGAATTAGTACACCATTTCCAGAATATGGGAACAGAACACTGTGGCTTCATTTGGCTCCTCTCCCTACATGTCCAGGCCCCCATTTCAACCAAACGTTTGTTTCCTTTCACAGGACCAGCAAATTTCACAAGATATTATGGGGCTTCTCTTTGGAAACCAGCCTCTTTAATCCTGCTATGATGCCAAGAGGTAGCCCAGCAAATCACACCTTGCCTTTCTCTGAATCACTTTCTTGTGTGGCCGTCTCTGACGCCTTATGCCGAAGTTGATGTGGCTCAGCACCAAGTTCCAGCACCAAGAGGGTGCTTTATTAACTGGCAGTGGTGAAAAGGTCTCCTCTCTTTCATTGTCTGTGTAACGTTACTTCTTTTCTGGGCAGTGGTTAATTTGTTGAACATCTCCGGAAGAGTTTTCACAGTTGGAGTTGGGGGAAAGCACTAAATAGAAATATGAATTCTTCTAAGGTGCATTCCAAGACACTTCTAAGCTCTAGTTTCATAGCAACCTCGGGCTCCTCTGTTGCTTTATTTGCATGGATTTTATCCCGAAGGTGGCATCACAGAACCTGAATTTCATTCAGCGAAGGTTAAAAGAAAATCCACATTTCTTTGTGATTGGAATCTAAAGTGTGCATTCTTTAGAGGCCATGTTTAAAGACTTTTGTTTTTCCCTGTAATTGGTGAAATTACTTTAAAGCTGTGAAAGATGGGGGTCGTGATAGCTTCCTACCCAGTGAAAACCTGAAGCCTGAGATACTTAGAAAAACCTGTCCTAAGCCCATGTTCCTTCCCCAGGTG